CGGTGAGGAGGTGAGGCCGGTGGGGAGGAAGGCTGAGCCCCCCCCAGCACCAGGCATCTGAGGTCGAAACGATATTTGGGCAGTGCTCCAAGAGCTCTTCTGAAGGTTGCAAACGTGGTTTTATTTATTGCAAATTTAGTATAGGGTATATATACCCGTTGGGGTTATTCTGATTTCAAGGGGTTAATGCGGCTGGCGGCGCGCCTCCCTTACAGCGCGGGAGCCTCCTCCTGTAACCTCGGTGCCAGCGAAGAGCGCCGTCTGGGGTTAACCGTAAATCACACGGTGCCAGCGGATGTAGCTGAAATTAGGGATGAACCTGCTCAAAGGACTTCTATTTTCAATAGGGTTTCGGTCTCTCCTCCTTTTAGGGAGCCTTTGCAAATCTCGACCTCAATTAATGAAACCAATCACATGCTGATTTGCAAGGGAGAATTAGCTTTATGGCATGTGCTTTTTAATGATAGCTAGAGCGCGTCCTTGATTTTGGCTGGAGATAGGAGGGGGGCGAATGGCTATTTGTGTCGTTCTTCCAAAATCGACGCAGAGAGAACGCGCTCCGTGCCAAAAGAAATACTTTCAGATCTGTTTCCACAGATGGAGAAAACAAAAAGAGTTGCAGAACGAAAGGAGAGATTTTGTCGTACCTTGTTTCTCCAGCAAATCTGCCAGCCTTGGGGATATATATATTTTTTTTCCCTTTTTCCTTCAGTGCTCAGGAAACCGTCCTAACTGCATCACAGAAAGCAATCTTGAAGTGTCCACAGATGAGAAAGGCAGAAGTCACGCTGGCATCAAGAGAAACGCTCAGCTCCATTCGCAGGCTCGGTACGACCGCTGCCAAAATCTGCTCTACTGACATGAAATTCTCGCTTGTGCTAGCGCGTGTTAGGGCAGCTCGGGGCAACGCTGCCTTGCTGCTAAGAAAGGAGTGTTTGTTTAAAAATAAAAAGTCGGTTTTCACTGCCAGCCAGGCGGCCCTTTCAGCCGCTGGAGAGAGCCGGCGCCTTTGCCTGGACGTCTGCATGTCGCTCTGCCCCGTACAGCTGCCCTCCAAGTCCTCGCTCGGCCGAGCGGTTCCCGCGGCGCGGCCGGCCCG